TGAGCCAAGAGCAGCCCTGGGGATGTGAAGGGCTGTGACATTTGGGAACAGACACAGCCTGTGTCCCCCACAGCTCCCCCAGCAGCACACACTTCCCAGGCACAGCACCAGCTGCTCATTGTGCAGCACTTGCATCCTCGAAAGCCTTAGCAGAGTCACAGAAAGCAGGGCTGGGAGGGAGCACAGCATCCCCAAACCCCTCCTAAGGCAGAGCTGGCACAATTACAAGGTGATTTTGGAGAAACCTACAATCACTGCCTGCACATCGGTGGGTGCCTCCATTTGCAGCCTCTTTGATGCTGCAGGGGACGTGGCAGCTGTGTGAGAACATGCAGCACCCTCGAGCAAGACACGAACTGAAGGAAAAACAATGTCTATTTTAGACTGAAACCACAAGAAAAATAGAGATAGCCAAAAAGAATGAGCAATTAGATCAGGAAACATGAGCAAACCATCCAGATCCATGGAAAATACAAAGGGTCTGTCAGTAACCACATAAGGTCAGGATCTGGGGATTGTATCTTGTCTGAAAGATAAAACTTATAGTGATATTTTTAAAATAAGTTTATGTTTGATGATGTTTGATACTCAATAAAAAGAAAAAATAACCCCCAGAGGATCACAATATTGAATATGTGATGATTTCTGACACTGTCTTCCAGATAACAATAGAAAACCTCATCTGGCTGAAGTTTTCAAGCTTTGTTTTACGAAAGTCTTATTCTTTGAGTTATCTGAATGTTTAACTTAGTGGGACAATTATGAATTGCTCTTGTCTGGCCTACAGGAAAAAAAAAAACCTTACAGAAGTATTGCCCAGGGTTTGATCTTTCTCTGTTGTCCCTTCACAACAGCTGGTACAGGGCTGTGCTGTGCTAATGAGAAGCCCCTCGGTCTGAAGGATGAGCTCTCACTATAGTTTTGGCTAAGCCAAGCCTTTTCTTGGTTGTGATAGTCCATTTGCTCCTCGTGTAATCACTCAGCTCCTTCCTCTTGGCAATGTCAGACTTTGAGAGCAGAACCAGCCCCAGGCCCCATTTATCAGTGCTTCTTTTTAGTGAAACCTACCTAAAAATGTCTGGGAGGTGGTGAAGGATTCAGTGCTCCCAGCACCAGGCGTGGCTCCTGTCTCTGCTCTGGCAGGGGCAATGCCTGGCTGCTGCCTCGCTGGCCTTGCCACCGTGGCTGGGAGCTTGGAGGGGTCAGCTGGTCCCAGATGTAGCCAAGGTTCCTGATGCAGTTGCCTGACCATCAGAAACTGGAAGGCAGCCCTGAATTCTTTTCTCACAAGTCACTTGGCCAGGCACCAGATGGTAAATTCTTTCAGTCCCTGCATCCCTGCCTGGGGTGGAAGCAGTGACCTCAAGGTAAAAGACTGCCTGGCCCATCCCTTGTCCCTCGGGGTGGCTGGTCCTCTCAGCCTGGCTCTGCTGTCCTGTTAAGGTGTGAGAACCAGAGGGAATAAAAATGCCCAGACAGGGGTGGAAATAGCCATCAGCACCTCTCTCGGCTCTTGCTGTTTGAAACTGGAGCCAGATTCATTCTGGGTAGGAAACAATTCTCCCATGTTGCCAAAAGCAGAGATGTTTCAAAATTTCCCAAAGCCATGGTGTTTTCCAGAAGTCTTATGAAAAACATCCAGCAGCCACCCCAAAATGTCCAACAGCCAAAGGAGACCTGAGGCATGTCCATTTGAGCTCAGGGCTCTTGGTTTTTCCAAGCTGGATGTATGTGCAGCTTTGCACCAGCGCTGTCCACCCTCCACGGGCAGCCCTGCTCCTCTGCAGTGGGGATTTGAGCCAGGAGTGCCCAGGAGCAAAGGGAGTGTTCTCCCCACTAAGCCATGGAGCTGGGCTCACCCACATTTTCACAGCCAGGACCCAGGACAGCCTCACTGCTCCTGCCAGAGATGGGCATCCAGACCCTGCTCTGACTCCCCCCAGCTCTGGGGAGGGTGCTTGACACCTGATGGAGAGTAAAGAAGGGGAGTCTCCAGCAAAGGAAAGGCATGAGGGGAGAATATGCTCAATATCCATCCCAGATGGATGCAATTTCGGCTGAGCAGGGTGTGCAAATGAGAGCTTTTCTGTGTTATTCACGATGGCACGTTAGAACTGCAAACACATGAAAAGCTCAGCTGTCTAAAATGTAAATTCACAGGGGCAGTTCCTTCATTTCTATAGAAACAGCAAAACTTGCCAGTGGCTAACTCAAAGGAGATGTATTCAGATCCCTGTATCAACTATTTTCTTGCACAACTGACCACCAAAAAAAAAAAAAATTATAACCCCCCAAAAAACCTGACAATAATACCATGGAAACTGTGGAGTGAGACATATGGACTTAATTACTAGCTCTGAAATCACACGTATGGTACAGAACACTTACAGGTTACGTGCTCCAGAGGGGAAGGGCTATAACAGCATTTATAAAATGAACTGCTAATGGGCTGTTGGCACATCAAAACACTTGCAGGGGCTGAATTCCTGTTCCAGGCTCTGCCTGCAGCCCCTGCAGGGCCAGCACAGTGACCTGGGTGGGGACGTGGGACCCAGAGCTGGGAGAAGGGAAGCCAAAGCCCACGTCACCCATGGAGAATCCTCTTTGGGAAGGCAGATCATGGGAGACTTCATGGGTACCCCTCCAGCCAGCTCCTCTGGGCACCTCCAAAACCCAGGCAGGTACCAGTGAGGATTGCCAATGCCATCAGAAGTGTGGGCAGCGTGCCAGGCATGGGATGCTGGGTTTGGCCCCATCTGACTGCTTGACTTGGGGGTGTTGGCTTGACTCAGGCCTGACTCGGGCTCTCCATCACTGCCTGAGCTCTGGCAGCTTCCTGGTGATGTCAAACATCGCAGTGATGTCACCTCACTACATCTAAACCTCAGCGACATCAGGTGTGGGGGGCAGCAAGGTTACCCCTGGTTCAGAGCTGAGGAAAGAGTAAGGAAAGAGAAGGGAGCTGACCCTGCACCCAGGACACATAGGGTGACAGGGGTTTAATGTCCAGTTGGCTCCCCTGGGCAGCCCTGAGCCTCAGTCTTCCCCAGGGGTGCCCTGCTGCCCCCTGGGACCTCACACAGGGGTCTGTCAGCTGCTCCAAGGGTGCTTCACTGTGGGAAATGAGAGGCTTTTATTCTGTTACCAGCACTGTCACCTGATTTCTACCTGGGAAATGAACTCATGGCTATTAATCAGGAATCCCTAATAAACACAAGGCTGGAATAATGAATTGAACTATCCCCATGTGGCAAAGCTGGATCAGTACTTTGGCTGTCCCAAGCCACTCCCAGGATGTTTGGCTGAGCTGTAGCCAGTGGGAGGGCACTGCCACCAGAGCAGAAAGTGGAACATGAGAGGCCTCTCCAGCCTTAGATGTCAAACCCTCTGGCTTGTGAGCACCTGTCAGTGGGTCCTGAACCACCCCCCTGCCAGGGAGTTCAAAGCAATGTGCCCTCCTCATGCCTCTCCTGCCACAGGCAGGGCTGCCAGAGCAGCTCTCTGCACCTCAGGCACTGGGAGCTGCAGAGCAGAGGCTCTGACACTTGCACAAGTGACAGCAGCCTTTGGAAAGTGTCCTGGTATTCCCACAAGCTGCCATGGCCTCATTAACAGCCTGATTGCAGCTAATGAAGCACAGCTAAAGCAGAGATTTGGGGTGGTAATGTGAGAGTTCAGTCTGTGCTCCTCCCTGCAGGGCTGTGCCCACCCTGCTCCATGCCCTGGCTCCCAGGCTCTGGGAAGCGTGGAGCTGAGGTCAGGATTGGTGCTCAGGTGACTGAGAACATGTTTCACTAAAGCAAAACAGAGGGGAAATAGGCCAGAGGGAGGGATGGGGCATCATTCTTAGCTGTGTGGTTTTGGTGTTCTCCTTATAGCAGCCAGCACCTCCTGTGTGTTGGCCAGCACAGACCTGGTACCCAACAGCAGCTCTCATCGTGCCTGAATGATACAGGCAGTCTGTCACAGCCACCAGGATCCATCCCTTGGCCAGCACAGAGCAGTAGTCCTGGCCCCAGAACACATCCTGCAGGCAAGGGGCACGGGTGCAGAGAGGAGCCAGGGAGAGCTGCAGGAAATCCTGCATCCTTATGTTCAGGCCTCTCCTTTGAGCTCTGGGCTCACAAATTGTCCTCTCATAGCATGTGATAAGATCTGAGGGAGTGACTCTGTCTAGTGTAGGTCTTGAGGTGCTTGGGTTTGTCTTTCCTAAGAGCCAGCCTCAGACCCTCAGTCACAGGGGACAGGAGAAAAGCTTGCACAGGGCAGTCTGAGAAAGCAAAGGCTGAACACCTGCTCTTCATCCCCAAACTTGGATTTCTAATTCTCACAATTGATTAAGATGATCATAATACTTCAGAGGCTGAATTTGCATTTATAGGGCTTGAAATCAGCAGGGTCAGGCTGCAGCCATCAGGTACCCAAGCCAATGCAACACAATGTGCATCCAACCACCCCACCCCAGCAGCCTCCCCAGGTGTTTTATATTCCTACACCAGGTAGCCACAGTTCTTCTCAGGATGGGGATGATGTGGCAGCACCACCACAGCAAATCCATTTCCAGCTTCTTTGGGTGACCCCTCTTCCACAGCCTGCCATGTGCTGGGTGCAGCATTAAAGATAGGGGTGGATGCCCTGCTGCTGCCTGGTCATGGCAGCAGCAGGGACAGTCAGTCCTGCCAATCCCTTCAAATCCCTGCAGGAAGATCCCAGCTCTGCCTGGGCAGACTTTGATCAGTAGGATAGGGCATGAAACTTCCCTCTCAGGCTAGGGGAAGGGAGCTGGATCACTGCACCAGCCTGGTTCCCCAGCCTCTCTCCCCTGCTCACCAGGGACAGCACAGCATCCCTTCCCTTCATTCCTTGTCCTGATGGACAGCATATTCTCACCTTGAGAAGAGTGGAAATGGCAGCTGGAATGTGGGCTGGAAAAAAAAAAAAAAGAAGAAGAAAGGAAAAAAAGAAAATCTTGAGGCTTGTCCAAACCTACTCATGTTTATATTGGAGCCTGTGAGTGACATCAGAGCAGGGAGAGTATAAACACCAGCAGGACCTACTCTGGGCTTTAAAACCTGCGAACTCTGCCTCCAAACTGCCTGGGGGGTGATGTGCTCAAGTGGCACAGGGCAGAGCAGCATGAGGCTCCGGCTGGAGAGGCAGCTCCTCTTCCTCTCCCTCCTCTGCATTCTCTCCAAGGTAAGGGAGACGGGGCACTGGGGCAACTTTAGCAACCACTTCTGGCAAGGTGGGGTGCAGGAGGGACGGGGGTGTCCCGGCAGCCAGGCTGTGCTGGGGCAGGGGCAGAGCTGTGCAGGGGCAGAGCTGTGCAGGGACAGGGCTGTGCAGGGGCAGAGCTGTGCAGGGACAGGGCTGTGCAGGGACAGAGCAGTGCAGGGGGCAGAGCTGTGCAGGGACAGGGCTGGGCAGGGACAGAGCTGGGCAGGGACAGAGAGGTGCAGGGGCAGAGCTGTGCAGGGACAGGGCTGTGCAGGGACAGGGCTGGGCAGGGACAGGGCTGTGCAGGGACAGAGCAGTGCAGGGGGCAGAGCTGTGCAGGGACAGAGCTGGGCAGGGACAGAGCTGGGCAGGGACAGAGCTGTGCAGGGACAGAGCTGGGCAGGGACAGAGCTGGGCAGGGACAGGGCTGTGCAGGGACAGGGCTGGGCAGGGACAGAGCTGTGCAGGGACAGGGCTGGGCAGGGACAGGGCTGGGCAGGGACAGAGCTGTGCAGGGACAGGGCTGGGCAGGGACAGGGCTGGGCAGGGACAGAGCTGTGCAGGGACAGAACTGGGCAGGGACAGAGCTGTGCAGGGACAGAGCTGTGCAGGGACAGAGCTGGGCAGGGACAGAGCTGTGCAGGGACAGGGCTGGGCAGGGACAGAGCTGGGCAGGGGCAGAGAGGTGCAGGGACAGGGCTGTGCAGGGGCAGAGCTGGGCAGGGACAGAGCTGTGCAGGGACAGAACTGGGCAGGGACAGAGCTGTGCAGGGACAGGGCTGGGCAGGGACAGAGCTGGGCAGGGGCAGAGCGGTGCAGGGACAGGGCTGTGCAGGGGCAGGGCTGTGCAGGATGTTCGGGCTGGAGCAGCAGGTCCGGGCGCTCCCGGCCAAGGCTCGCACAGCAGCGCCGGCAATCGCTGCTCGCTCGGTCCCGCCGCTCCCGGGCTGGCTGCGCTCGGTCCCCGCGGGCCAGCGAGCAGCAGCTGGGCGGTAGCGGCTCCTCCGGGCTCCTCCATCCCCGCCCAGGCTCCCGAGGCAGGGGCCAAGCCACGAGCACCAGCCCTGCCTTTCCTCAGCTCTCCCCACTTCTCGGAATGCTCACGCCAAGCCAGTGCCTCCAATGGGATTTGGGTTGTTGTAGAGATTTTATTTTTTTTTCTTCTCTTGGACTCTGTGTGAAAATATTTGCCTGCGCAGAGAACAGGAATGCTGAAAAATTTGGGGCATCTCGGCTCCAAGTTCTAATTGCTGCTTGAATCCCCAGGCAAGGATGTCGTGGCAATGTCGTGCCTATTTCACTCTTTTCCCAGAGAGTTCAGATCTGTGACAGAAGCCACATTGTCACATAAAGACAAGTAAATTACAAGGAGCTGGGGGAAATGGATTTATGGCTCAGCTAATCTTTCTAAAACATCGATTTGTAATAACAACCTCTTGAAAGATGAAAAATGCCCTTGGCTGCCTGGGTAAACTGTAACAGCAATGATTCTTGCCCCAGGTGCTCACGAGTGCCTGGAGAATCACCAAGGACCATCGTGCTGCCAGCCCAAACCTGGCCACCACAGCCAGTCCCTCGGGCTCTGCCACATTAATAATGCTGCTCACTGGCAGAACTAGAACAAGATCCAGATTACTCAATCCCAATCCATATTTTAATTCCAGTTATTGGCACTGACACTCCTGCAGCCCCATGAAAAGCATCTGAACTGCTGCAAATGGGGAACAGATAGAGCACCAGGGCTACCCTCTCTGTCTGACTCATCATGTCAGTCCTGATGCCACTGGGAGAAACTGAAAGAGAAAGAAAAATGATATCAAAAAGCTACATGGTCTGGTGAGCCCATCGCTCTCATGGCAGGCTCAGCAGTCACACCAGTCTCTGGAGCAGGGTGAATGTTTTGGTTGCATGTTTGCTGTGCTGCACACGCTGGCCCTGCACATGCATCCAGCAGCGTGTGCATGGAGCTGAGCAGCAGGGCTGCCAGGGGGCTCACATCACTGGCAGGCCAGCACTGGCAAAGGGTTCACTTCCAAATCACAGAGCCAACTCTCGTGGCTTCAGGCTCTGTGTGCAATAGTTCTGTCACGTGTGACATGATGGGAGCTCAAGAGCTGCCTAAAAGAGCTGTTGGTGCCAGGGTGGGTGCAAGCAGGATGAGCCAAGGGTATAAACACCCACCTGCCCAGGTGAGCTCCTGTGGGCACCTCCCTGGCAGAGCAGGCAAAGGACTGCATGCACAGCCCTGCCAAAGTGATTACTGAGTCTAGCCATGAGAGAAAACAGCTCCCAGCCCTTGAAACCGTGCCTATCTCCGGGCTCCTTGCCCAGTGGGCCAGGCCAGGTGAGGATGCTGCAGCCAGGGACAAGCAGAGGATGCAGCTGGACCAGTGAGGAATGCAGTGAGGTCTGCCCAGCTTCAGATCCCCGCTGCTGATGCAATGTCCTGTTTCTTGGCATGAATGAGAGCTCTTAAGGTTGTAAGGAGTCAGGTGCTTTGCACTCAGCACGTGAATTCATTCCCTGCAAAGCCACCTCTCCTGGGCTGGGCACGGCCTGCTGCCTTGGGGGCAGGCATGGGGGTGGGCTGCTTTACCTCCCTCCCTTCCTCTCTCCCACTGGGCTGTTTGAGGCTGCTGACTTCATTAAATAACCACCACTACCCAGCATGTTCACCTTGTAGCTCCATCCTCCAGTATGTTCAGAGCAGTGGCACATTAAAGTCCCCATCTTTCAGAGTGCCGAGCCTCTGAGCATCCTTGATTCTCCATGGTTTTCCATAGGTACACTTCGAAGGGGACAGTAGCTTTCCAGGATGCTTTGAGATATTCCCATGGATTTGGAGCCTCCCTCCACCAAAAATCTGCCCCCATGGTTGAGACAAAGTTACCTGGCTGTCCCAGTGACAAAGTTACCTGGCTGTCCCAGTGACAAAGCAGCTGTTAGCCAAAAACCACCTGTATGGATTCAGCTCTGCCTCCACAGGTTTGTGCCCAGCTGTGTCGGAGACCGTGCTACTGCCCCTGGGTGCCACCCCGCTGCCCCCGCGGGTCCCCCCTGGTCCTGGATGGGTGTGGCTGCTGCAAGGTCTGTGCTCGGCGCCTGGGAGAGCCCTGCGACTTCCTGCACGTCTGTGACCAGAGCCAGGGCCTCGTCTGTGACTACAGCTCAGCATCTGCAGGGACAGCAGGCATCTGCAACTGTGAGCACAGGGGCACCCACTTTCCCTAGACATACCTCCACACTCCAGTCCAGCACACAGCCCAGCTCCAGCCGTGACTTCACAGGCATCCCACAGCCCCACCTGGGGATGGTTCAGGCTAGGAAAGCAGCTTTCCTGAGGATGATGTATGCAGCTTGGCCATGGGGCTGTGCCCCATCTCCTCCCAGTTCTTGTGCTGCTTTCTGACTGAGACTTCAGGGTGGCTTCAGTGAGAATGAACAGGGGGGTCCCAGGGATGCTGCAGTCACCCTGTCAAGGCTGGAGCCTGAGGGTCCTGCAGAGAAATCTCAGAGAAAATTTCCTAGCCTGCAAATCCTGAAGGCAAGGTCAGAGCCACAGGGCAGGGCGGTTCTCACACCTTGTGAGCTGTTGCTTTGAAAGAACAGAGAGATGAGGAGAGAAGACAGGGAAGGGGAGGAGACTGAATGATGAACGTGCTGCTGCACACCACTCAGTCAATTCTGTGGTCCCCCCACTTCAATCCCTTTGTTCAGCCCCGCAGTTAGCCCCAGCACTGCCCCCTGCCACCCCCATCTCTCTGTCCCTCTGTCCCTGACGGGCTCCCCGGCTGTCACCTGCAGTTGAAGACGATGAGGAGGGCTGCGAGGTGAACGGCCGCGTCTATCGAGACGGGGAGGTTTTCCAGCCCAGCTGCAAAATCCAGTGCCATTGCTTGGACGGCGGCTTCAACTGCATCCCGCTGTGCCAGGAGGATGTGCGGCTGCCCACCCCGGACTGCCCCTACCCCCGCCGCGTGGAGATCCCAGGGAAGTGCTGCCCGGAGTGGATCTGTGAAACCCAGGACCAGCACCTCCCCCGGGATGCCAGGGCAGGTAAGATGCAGGGCAGCTCCAGGGAGGGGCCCACACAAATCTCTGGGGATGCCCCCTTCGCCCCAGCCTGTGAAACATCAGCAGGAGACACGCGTTCCTCTGCCACGCAGGGCTTTGTCCGCAGCACCACAGGGCAAATGCACAGCACCTGCCTCCATCCCGTTTCCCCCCTGTCCTCTCTTGCAGTGTCCGCAGCGCTGCGGCTCCCCTGCCCGGAGTGGGGCACGGCGTGGAGCGCCTGCTCGGCCACCTGCGGGCTGGGCTTTGCCACCCGCGTGTCCAACCAGAACCGCCGGTGCCGGCTGGAGACCCAGAGGCGGCTCTGCACGGCCGGACCCTGCCCGGCCCGGCCCGCGGCGCTCCCGGCGGTGAGTGAGGGCTGGGGAGCCGCTGCCTCTGGGCACACGTTTCACTGACCACGGGAAGTGCCAGCAGCACCTCTGGGCCCCCATCACAACTCCTCAGCCATGAGCTGAGCGTGTCTCACGGACACGTGAACCATCTCCTGAAACTTTGCTTGGAAAACAGCCGAGAGCAGGTTCAGACCAGAATTTTGGGGTCTCTGGATGTCTGAATCCAGGAGCACTGTGGATTCCACGCAGGTGAGCTCGGCCTGCCCCGATGGCCAGAGATGGATTTGCAGCTCCTGCCTGGCTCCCTGGGCACACCCGGGAGGTGCTTCTGCCACTCCTTTATTAGCCTGGCACAACCCTGGTGGGGACACGGTGCTAGTCTGCCTTTCTGGTGTGCAGGGGGCACTTTCTGCCCATTTCTTCCCCCTGCACTGCCATGCTACATGCCCCCTCTGCCCAGCTGCGGGGGACACAGCACCACCCACCACCCCTCTCCATCTCCCAGCTGATCTCCATTCTGCCTTTCCAGAGGGGAAGAGGAGGTCGTTTGTAGCTGTGCCCACCCCGGATTCACCCTGGAGCCAACGCCTCATCCCGGCAAAGAGTCTGACACAAACCCATGGCACTGTGGTTACAGTGAAGATGGAGGGTGTTTCCACTGGGAAAACAGAAGAAATGATGGACTTTGGCTGCAAAGGAGGCTGGAATCAGAGAACAAGATCCCCATGTCACCCATCACCTGCCTCCTCTGTACACCCCGCTGCCCCAGGCAGGGTTACTGGGCAGCATTCTGAGTTCCTTAGGCTGAATGAAATGGGAAATGGGGAAGTCCTGCTCCAAGCATAAACCCACCCAAGAAACCAGGAATTGGTCCTTTCCTGGACCAGTGGGCCTTCTGAAGAGGTGATGCTGCTTCTCCACCACATCACCCACCTCTGCTTTGCAGGGACGTCAAGAGAGACCATCTCCAGCACCTGGAAGCCAAAATCCCTGGAGAGAACCCTCTTGCCCTGGCCCCCCAGGGAGGGAGCAGGTCATCAAGCTGCACCCCACAAGTCACTGGCACACCAGGCTGAGCTGCTCGACCATGCAGGAGCTCAGCCAGCCCATAGTACCCCCCCCCCCCGCCTTCCCCGGCGTGGGCAGGGTTCTCCTGATGGCAGCTGCAACTCACCTTCCCCTCATCCCTCCAGAATAAACACGAGCCTTCCCGCTCTGCCTGGCCTCCTCCTCTCCAAAGCGCTGGTGGTTTGGCAGGGCTTGGGCAAGCGAGGAGCTCAGACAGCGGAGACTCCGCGCCGCAGCAGCACCAGACATCCCGCCCGCCATCCAAGCACATTCCCCGCGAGCCGGGGCCACGGGAAAAGCAGGAAAAAGGGAAAACAAATCGCAAAGATGAGTCGGAGCCGTCTCCCGACGGGCTGGAGCTGCTCTGGCTGTGCTTTTCTCGCAGTAAAATAAATCCTGCTGGGTGATGTTAAGTGAAATCCAAATGCCCTCTAACGGCCTCGCACAAACGCGCAGAGGGAACGCGCCTCCCACCGCGGGAAGGGCAGCTGGAAGGAGCAGCGGTCTGGGTGTCCAGGTGAGAGATGGACTTTTTAGATGCGTTATTTCTGGAACTGAAAATAAAGATGTGCTCATCCAAGTGTGGAGTTTGTCTGTGCAGGGCGAGCCCAGCCCCGCTGCTCAGGGCCAGCTCGGTGGGTGCAGGAAAGTCCTGGCACAGGGTGGGGCAGCTTGGAGGCACCTCAATTCAGGCTGCTTAGAGTAAGAGAAGGAAAAAGAAAAAAAAAAAAAGTGAATCAAAGCACTGAACACATTATTAAAATTTATTACATCCTGGGTTACATCCTTCACTCTTACCCAGCCATAAGCCCTGCTGATGGCACCAGCCCTGGCCATAGCAGTGCCCAAGTCTCCAGTGTTGGGATGTGCAGGAGAGCAGGGCAGGGTATGGCACTGCCTGCACTGCTGCAGTATCTGCAGCCACATCTGCAGCCTCTTCTCAGCTCCCAAAAATCAATGCCCAAACTCCCCTGTAGCTCATCCCTCCTACTGGCAGGCCCACACTTCTTCCAGTTCCCCTGGGCTGGGATTTCCCCAGCATGGTGCAAGCACCATCACCAGCTGTGCTCCTGACCAGAGCAGGTCTGGGGGAGAAGGGGCAAAAGGCTGCATGGCAGGGAGAGCTCCTCTCTCCAGCCCAGGGAAAAGCCTCCCCTGCAGCAGCACAATGGCAGCAGGGCCAAGGCAACTCACACACTCCCTCAGGCCCTGCAAGAACTGAAAAGGAAATGAAAGTCAAGGATGCGATTCAGCTACCTCTTGGGGTTAAAAAAAAAAAAAAAAAAAGAAACCTTGCTGTTCTTGCAGTAAAACATTGCCTACAAAGAGAATTATTTACTGCAATCATCTGGTGCTCAGCCTGAATACAAATCATTAATTCTCTTTGATATGGGGCACATGGTGAATCTCCAGCAGGCAGCAAATCACAGAACAAACATCTTGGGTTGACTTTTTTAGTTCTCTGGTGCCCATGCCAAACAAGTGGTGACCTAAAGCTCATGTAGACTTCAAAACTATCACGTTCCTCGACTGATATGGATAAAACACATTGTGGGTACCTAAAATCCTGGTTTTAAGCCAGTTCTTGTTCAAGCATGTTGGGACTCAGCCACCAAGGCTGGGTGAGCTGCCAGAGCTGTCACAAACTCCCAGATCCTGCCTAGCCACCTCTGGGTGATGGTAAAAATCAGAAGGTCACTTTTTAGGCAGCAACCTGCAATTCTCATCTCAAACAAATGACTCAACACACCTCTGCTATAATTATCTTTTTTTTTCCCCCTGCAGAATGTCTCCCTGATTCACTAAGCATCTAAATAATGAATTAATGATTCCAAATAAATCAGAGTTATTTTTCCCTATGAATACAGGGAAATCAACTCTTGCAGTTTGATTGCTAGTCTCACAATATCTCCCTCTAAAGCCCTGCTACCCTGGAAACGTGGTTATTTGAGGCTCTGACGCAGGGTCCTGGCTTTGCCTGCTCGTGTGGGGCAACAGAGGAATATTCCACCCCATTAAATCCCCAAACTGAAAGAAAATTAACTCCTGTCCTCAAGGCACAAGGCCACATCTGCACACAGCCTGATATCTGCCAACCACACTCCTGAGCCAGTGATGAGCAGCAGATCACAGCTCATTTCTGTGCAAGCACACGCAGCAGCTGAAGGAAAACTGTCCTACTGGATGAGTAAACAACATGCATCAGAATTTCTTTTCCAAGCCATTCTCATGATTGATGATTTTTAAATGAATAGAGTTGGGTGAGAGAGGGCTGAATGAGCCTCTTGTTAAAATGAAACATTTTCAGGGATGGAGGACAGGAATGCAGTGCTCAATTGAAAAAAAAAAATCAAGTCGATCAAATGGGTTTTTCATTTCTCCTGGAAACACATGTTCAGGTTATGTGTTTGTAGGAGCTGTCTGGGCCTGGGTTCTCATCCTGACATCAGCACTGCTGTTGCCTGCCAGAGCCAGAAGCCAGAGAGGAGCATCCTCATGCAGGATGTTTGGGCAGAGCTGGCAGTAGCACCTGTACTGTGAGCAAAACCATGAACACCTAAAACACACAGGAGTCAGGCACAAGAGAAAAGCTCTGTGATTGTGCCTCCCACAGGTCCAGGGAACAGGAGATGTGGAGGGCATGGGGCTCCAGCCATTCATGGGCAGTGCTCCCTGTGCCCTGCCCTGCTCCTCTCTTCCCATGGCAGGAGGCACCAGCTCCAAGCTTTCATTCTCGGGACAGAGAAGCTTTGGCTTTGTTGCTGAGAACAGTTTATTACCCTTCCCATGACCACAGAAGTCCTCCCAGCCAGCTGCTGTCTCTGCCTCAGTTTCCCTAAAGGTTGATACTCTGGGACAAAGGGAACTGCTCCCAGTCTGTTCTTCTCCTTTTGCTGTCCTTCCACACTTCAATAAAGTTGCTCTGCAAGTGCCACCCCAAGCCCAAGCTGCAGGAGCAGCTGAAGTGCACAGAGGCGAAGGGGGCAGGAGCAGGGCAGGATGGGGTCACCTCTCTGAGGGGTGCACCCCCATGGGCCCCCTCTGCTGCTGTAACTCCAGGGGCACAGACCCACCAGAGCCTCTGCAAACCGCAGAAAAGCCGTACCTTCTGCACAAGAAAACAGCTTCCAGACTTCATCTTTTCGGCGGCACACCCATAGCAGCGAGATTCTATTACAGAGGCAGGAAATACACCACGTTTCCCACCTCTTATCTGCTCCAGCGAGCGCTTTCTGAAGTCAGCGAACACACTGGCACTCTCAACACGCGGCTAACCCCCGCCCCAACTGCGTCCTGGGCTTCCCCACTCAGAGCTGCCGTGCCCAGCCTGGTCCAGCTCCCGAGGAGGGATGCTGGGCAGGACTCGCCCTCCCTCCTCCTCCTCCCCACTGGCTAACGGGATACCAGCCTCCTCCCATTCCCTGCCGGATTCAATTCCCGGAAAGCGAGCGGCCGTGGTCTTTCCAGAGCCTGGCTTTTCACCTCAAGTCGTTTTCCCGAGGTCGTTTTCCTATGGGAAATGGATTTTCAGGGTAAACCTCCCTCCCGTTAACTTCCGCGCCTGCAGATCCAAGTGACTTCTGGCCCTGTTTATGCGGCAGCAGCTGCTCAGCAATGCAATCGGGGCTGCCCTTCCTCGGGGTCTGCTTTGGGGTCGCTGGTTTCAGCTCTTGCCCCAGTGTCTGGGTGTTGTTTCTTTTAGCTCTTGACCCAGTGTCTGGGTGTTTTAGCTCTTGCCCCAGTGTCTGGGTGTTGTTTCTTTTAGCTCTTGCCCCAGTATCTGGGTGTTTTAGCTCTTGCCCCAGTGTCTGGGCGTTTGTTTTAGCTTTTGCCCCAGTGTCTGGGTGTTTTAGCTCTTGCCCCAGTGTCTGGGTGTTTTTTTTAGCTCTTGCCCCAGTTATCTGGGTGTTTTAGCTCTTGCCCCAGTGTCTGGGTGTTTTAGCTCTTGCCCCAGTGTCTGGGTGTTTGTTTTAGTTCTTGCCCCAGTGTCTGGGTGTTGTTTCTTTTAGCTCTTGCCCCAGTGTCTGGGTGTTTTAGCTCTTGCCCCAGTGTCTGGGTGTTTGTTTTAGTTCTTGCCCCAGTGTCTGGGTGTCTCCTGCCTCACGGTCGCTGTGACAGGAAAGGAAGGGCGCAGCCCGCCTCATGTTCTCCCTGCACGGGTCTGCACCGCTCGAAGGAGGAACGGGGAAAGGGTTTTTGTGCTTGGGGAAGGAGGCAGAAATAGGCAGCAGGAGCAGCTGTAGAGGGGGCAGCTCTTGAGCATGGCTCACTCTGCCTGTGCTGGGGCAGAAGCCTGGCACATCTCTGTCTGGGGGCACTGCCTGCGGCACGGCGAACACTGCGGGTGTCCTCCGTACCTCTGCTCCTGGTATTTCTGAGCGTTGCAGCCAGGGAAAAGGCTGTCAGGAATGGCAGTGAGGGCGGCTCATGGGGTGCAGGCTTCCAGCCTCCGGTGTGGAAAACTGGGAGGTTTCTCCTTGAGCGCGAGTGGGACAGAACAGAAACGGGCTGAAAGCTTGGCTCCCCTCCTCAGGCATCCCTCTGCCGCCCCCCTGCCTCTGCTCCCCCCAGGCACTCCCAGCACCCAAAATAGCCAGGGTGCTCCGTGACCCCGGCGCCCGGCTCCGAGTGGGCTGGGGGAGGCGCCGGGGGAGTGGCGGAAGGCGCTCGGCAGGGGCGGCTGTCGGCACATCCTCCCCGTGTCCCGGGGAAAGTCCCCGGGGTTCTAGAGTCCCCCGAAGCCCCAGGCCGGGCTCAGCAGCAGAGGAGAGCTGCGGGGAGCCGCAGCCGGTGCCAGAGGACGCGGTGCTGCCGCGGCGCCTCCGAGCTCCGCCAGCAGCGCCCCATGGCCGCGGCCGCTCTCTCCTCGTGGCCCGGCAATGGCACTCGGGCTCCGTGCCCCGTGGATTCCGCCTTCGCCCAGCGCTTCCTGCCCGCCGTGTACCTGACCGTGATCCCCCTGGGGCTGCTGGGGAACGGGCTGGGGCTGTGGCACCTCTGCACGGGGCCCCGCGAGGCTGCCCGCCAGCCCCTCAGCCTGCTGGTGGGCAACCTGGGGCTGGCTGACCTGCTCTATGTCAGCACGCTGCCCTTCCTCGTCAGCTACTACCTGCAAGGCAGGCTGTGGATCTTCGGGCAGCCCTGGTGCCGCATCACCCGCAGCCTCTTCCACCTCAACCTCTACGCCAGCATCGGCTTCCTCACCTGCATCAGCGTCCACCGCTACCTGGGCATCGTGCACCCGCTGAAGGCGCGGGGCAGGTGCCAGGGCGCAGCCTCCTCCGTGTGGCTCAGCGCGGCCGTCTGGGTGTGGGTCATTGCACAGATCGCTCCCGACCTCGCCTTCAGCAAGGCAGATGACAACAGGACGCAGTGCCATGACACGACAGGACAGCAGCACCTGGACGTTTACTTGCCCTACACCTTTGCGGTCACCGTGACCGGGTTTGTCGTCCCGTTCCTCATCATCATCGGGTGCTATTGCCACGTGGTGTTCGTGCTCTGCAGGAATGACAGCATGGACGCCAGCCTCAGGAGGAGAAGCATCGGACTGGTGATTCTCGTCATGGTTCTCTTTTCCATCTGCTTCCTCCCCTACCACATCTTCAGAAACCTCAACCTGTTCTTTCGCTGGTGGCCACAGGGGTCCTGCACACAGGCTTCAAAGGACATCTACATTTCCTACCAGGTGACTCGGGGCCTGGCCAGCCTCAACAGTGCCCTCAACCCCCTGCTCTATGTGATTACCAGCAAAGATTGGAGGTCACGAGTGAGGACCATCCACCAAAGGGCCAGACAGTGTCTGAGGCCACGCTTCTGGAGCAAAAGCTCTTGCCAGGCAGCTGAGAAGAGAAATTACATTTGTAAGGAAGAGGCTTCTAATGAGCTCTGAGGTATCTGACACCCCTGCTTCTGCCACATCAGCTTGTGCTTGGCCCCTCCATGGGCAGCCCCGCACTTTGACACCTGGCTTTGCAGAGATGGTGACAGCAGCATCACGGGCTCCGTGCCCACAAGGGACAGGCAGGACTGTCAGTGTCAGAGAGAAAACTGGGACAAGATTTCAAAAGCAAAACTACTCAACCCAACCATTTTGTCTGCAGCATGCGTGGAGATGGAAGGAGATGATCATGTTTGCTCCAGTCCAAAGTATTTCCCTCCAGCCTGTTGTGCAGCAGTCTGAGCTGGTGAATATCCCCTTGCTTCCCAGCTCCTCCATGACTGAGGGATGGGAGGGAATGACACCTTGTCTCCACACTGCATTCTCTCTACTCCACTGTGCTGTGGGTGTGAGACAGCATTCCCTCTTTTACCTAAGGAGAGGTCCTGTGTTGCAGAACAGCTGAAAGGGCAAATTTTTGCAGTGGAGAGCTTTGGAAATGGAAATATTCATTTAAAAATTGGGTTTTATGTACATTACTAAGCTGTGCCAGTTCCTGGGTGATTGAGCTGTTCCAGGATCTGTGGGATCCTCTTCTGCCCACCTCCTTCGCAGAAGAAAAAGACATCTTTGGTATTACTCCCTCTCTTTTGGAAGAATACATAGCAGAACTAACAAATGGGCATTTTGAAGTTTTTGGAGGCTATTGGTTGGGGTTTTATTTTAGAAGGCGAATGACTGCAGTAGTCTGAACTCTTGCTTTCAGCAGGAAATCCCAAGAGAGTTTGCAAATGTTCAGGTGGGTGCTTGCATCTTGCATCCAGCCTTGAGAGGCCATTAGATATGACTTTGTAAAATTTAGATATGCAAATAAAAAGAGAAGCTGTGCTGGCATGAGGACTTGTGAAGGCAGAATGTGATGGTGAGATCTTTCATCACCAGGGCTGACAGATCTCTGCTGCTTTTAAGGTGAGCAGAGACTCCCAAAAGTATTTTCGGTTTTGATCTCGGTGTTACCCACTACAAACAGCTCGAACATTTCAATTCAATAATGTGATTTGCAGCAACGGCAGCTTTTTTAGAGCCCAACTGAAGGAAGTGGACTGTGAGTTAAAATCAGCCCTTTCTGGGAAAGCACTGGCCCACGGACGGATGTTTTGCTCTTTTCCTGACATTTATCTCTGTCACGGTTCCTCACACAGACCAATCTTAGCCGGGCAGCGGAGGGTGCATGGCTGGCCTTCAGTGCAGTTAATCTGTCTACAGTGCAAATAAACACCTCATGCTTTCAGTTCTGAGTTGTCTGACTTCTTTTAAAGCTTTATGGGAACTGGGAGCCAGCTGGCCTGCAGGTTGGAGCAGGGACCTGCCTGCTCAGGGAGTGGTGATGATCTTCCCAGTGCTCTGCAGACAGGGAACTGCTGGGAGACTGCAGGCAGCCAGCGGAGAGGGAGCTGTGACAGGCACACACTGAGGAGGCTGCTCAGCACCAGTCAGGGGTCCAGCAGAGCCTGAAATCTCTAGCTCCCACCCCATCCAGAGGAAAACCAAAGATAATGCATATATTCACTGGCAAGATCTCCCTCTGTAGTAGGAAGATTGAGACATTAGGATCAGACCTGGTCCATGCTCTTTGTACACATGCTCCAGATCTGGGCTTCTCCAGAGCTCTGAACTCTTCTCCTTTCCTCAGAAAACACCCACACCTCTGAAAGCTGTCCAGTTCTTCCATCTTCACACGTGGATCCTGTCTAAGATGCTACAGCTCCCCAGAGAACCAGCCTTGGCTCCCACAGCCCACAGCAGCTGTGACACCCTGTCACTGCCCCGTTTTGGGCAGGGTTGGTTGAAGTAAAGCATCACCACATCTGGGGAGGGAGCACTGCAAACTCTGCAACTCTGCTCTCACCCCCTGTGTCCTTGTGCCCAGATGTGTCTTCTTGTCTTCTCCAGTGCCCCCTCCCTTCACTTTTAATAATGATTTAGAGATCTGTGTCCTAAGAAGCATCTCTGAGCCCCAGGGACAGTTGCAGGCATAAATCTGCATGTTTTTCTGTGTTCTGTATTTGTCAAAGCAGCAAAAACCAGTAAGGATCTGTGTGCTGTGTGCTGGGCTGATGTCTGAGATATTTGGGGTGGAATTTTAAATTCCTTTTTCAATCTAGAACTTCACAGTCCCTTTGATTGTCTGACAGTGCTGCTTCCCATGTGAACTGGGGGGAATGAGCTCTTTCCCTTTATTAGGTGTATGTCTAATTAAGGCTCAATCCCTGGCACAAGAGCCTCTTCACAGTTGGTGATGGGGCAACAAAACCACCCTCCTTCCTCCTTCCCTCCTTCCTGTCCTCACTGCCAGGGAGGTTCCTTCCGTCCCAGAGAGCAGCTGCTGCTCCCTGTGGGACATGGAGGTGTGTGGTCAGTGCAGAGACCCTGCTCAACCCTTGCACAGCTCCCCCCTCAAAACCTCCCAGGGCTCTTTATCCCCTGGAACCAGAGGGTGGGATTGTGCCTGGAGCAACCAGCACAGGCAGCACCCAGCCTGACCCAGGTCCCACCTGTGGCATGGGAAGAACTTCTGGGAGTGGGTAAATGAGCAGGGAAGGTAGGGAGCTATCATAATTGTTCTTCCCCTTCTCTCAGCACTCTGCCAGACACTGGCAGGGCCACACAAGCATTTGCTGCTGGCAGGAAGGGGCCAGTGTCACTGGAGAAGCTGTGCCATGGTTACCTCCTGAATCATCACCCCTTTTGGGCTCCTGCCTTATGATGAGCTGAACATTGCTCTTTCCCTCCCTTGGCTCTCTGTTTCCAGACTCTGAAGAAGTCTAAAAGCAAGTGAGAGGAATCCCACCTGCACTCTCTGCTTTTCCCACAGCCTCTGTGGTGCAGCAGCATGGAGCAATAGTCTTGTCTGCAGAATCAAGCTGAACGCAGATTTTTAACTCCTTTATCAAGATTAGGCCCAACCAATAAATCAAACACAGTGGGAATTCTCCTCCTGACACTAATGGGGCCAGGACATTTGGCAGCATTTCTTGCTTCATTAAATAAACCTCTCTTGGTTGAGGATATGTGGCAAACGCAGTCAAGGTTTGTTGTTGCACAGAACTTTTGAGCTGACAGCCCAGGGAAGCCAGTCAGGCAGAAATAACAGGCACACGTACGGATGCACAGATGTACAACCACTTTTTTCTTCCAAAATGAAGAACTGGGTTTTCTTTTTTTTTTTTTTTTTTTTTTTTTTTTTTTTTTTTTTTTTTCATGCAAAACACACTACAAGAAGAAAATATTGCTATCAGCAACATCTAAATGCATAGAACTCAACTCTGATTAATTCTTTATTTAATTTTGCACACATTAGCTAAAATCTATCTCTGACTCAGTTCAGGGGTGCTGGTATAGCCAGTGGAGCCCTGATTGCTAAACAAGTGCCCTGTGCTGAGAACATGGGCTCATGCCTTTGTGTCAGAGACTTCCACAGCCTGGGAGAGCAGGAGCAGCTGCACACTGGGGCTGGGGGGGCTGGGGACATCACTGGGGCACTGAGATGGTGCATGGGAGCCTGTTGGACAAACAGGCCATGGCCATAACGTGAGAGACCTCAGGCCCAGGCAATGTGTGAAGCTGGAGGAGAAGCAGCCAGAGCAGGAGGCTCCTGCAGGACTTGGCTCCCCATTACTCCAAGCACCCAGCAGTGGGACTTTGGTGGAGCATCTTTTGCAGCATGGTGGGAGGCTGCAGTGTGCACACAGAAATGCATGAGTCACTCGGGTCACTAATGAAAGGTCACAGCATCCTCAGATTCTGTGAGAGCCATTTATTTCTTCAGCAAAACAATTTCATTGCTAAAGTACCTTTGGCTGCAGTAACAGCAGACCTGACAGGTTATCTTATTTACCAAGGATATCGATCAGACTGGGAAGGAATAGTAGATGCAATTATCCAGGTGAACTGGGGAAAATGGTAAATATACCTACCACTGCGCTGCTGTTGGTGAATATTTTAATAAAAGAGAAAAAGCTGAGTCTTTGTCTATACTACATAGAGTGCTTTGGCATCCGAGGGACCAACAGCTTGTGCAGAAGAGAGCAAATGGCAGAAATAGCACAACACTTAGCGTGCCTGTGTGAAGCCATCAGCCCGATAGCGCTCCTGCGGTGCATGCAGTTAGAAATAGGCGATGCCGGGCAGCGGGAGCCGAGGAGCGGCTCGGCGCTGCCCGCTCCCAGCCCGGCGCGCATTTATTTATTTGTGTGTGCGCTACCGAGCGGCTGCGGCTGCACCCTGCGGGCACCGCCTTGTCCTGCAGGACTCGCCGAGACCAGGTTTTAAAGAGCTGTGCCATTTTTTACTCCTTTCCTTTAAATATCGCCTCCCCTCAGCAAGAGCTCCCTGCCCCGGATCGCTGCTCGAGGCAGGCGCCAGCACAGGAGCGGCGCAGTGTGAACCGCCGGGAGATGCTGAGTGCACCACGACCTGTGCTGCCTCCTCAGCATCCTGAGAGGAAGCTATCATTTGAATTTTACCCAACACCTCCGCTCTGTCATGAGCAGGAGACGCTCAGATCTGATCTGGCTCCCTGAAGAGCCCTTCATGCCAACGCAAAGCGTGAAATTCTTCTGCTTGTTTGGGCTTATGGGCAAAAAGTTTACCCTAAGGAGCATCAGAGAGCTCCCAGGCTTGGCAAAGGCACCACAGCTCCTCCTTGGAGAGGCTGCTTCCGTGCTGTGCTCAGGACATCCAAGGACAGCAGGCAGATTCACTCTGTCCTGGCTGCCTTTGCTCACGTGTGGAGGTGCAGAGGTGAACCTCTGTGCTCAGTAGAGGTGGGGAGAACCTCCCACCACGGCTTCCAGTCTGCTCTTGCCAGCACAGCCCACCTTGCAGAACCTCAGTGTCTCCAGCCAGGCAGTGGGGAGACAGTCCCATGGCAATGGGAAGCTGCTGGCAGGGAGGAGAGCTCAGGGACAGGTTCACTGCTGAGGGTGCCAAGAGCCGGGCATTGTCACTGAATGAAGTGTTACTTGGTTTGGAGGCAAAAACCTCCCTTTGAAAGTGTGTAGTGCTAGTCACACTGTGCCATGCTGAGAGTCCAGAGGAGATGGGGATGCAGTTCCTTTGGGATGCAGCTCATCCATGAGCCTGGGGATATCCAAGACCCCAGCAAGTCTGCACTACCCATCATGAGATGCTACAGCTTCCTCAGTACTGTTGGAGGAAAGAAACTAAGAAACTTTCTGTGTGCAAAACTGAAATAACAGA